ACAGGAAGAATCTAGATTTAATAATCAGGTGGCCATAATCATAGCTCTGGGGACCCTGTATACTTCCTTGAGATTCAAATTCCCCTCAAAATACCAAGTGAACCGTGGCTCAGTTACTTAAGAGATGGTGCAATTCAGAGTAAACCTGAGCATCTTTATCTGTCAGATGCCTCAAAATTACCTGCGCAGCAACCTTGCCAAATGTTCCTCTGGTCCTATCTTTCCTAAAACGGAGCAGGGCCATTACCTAGCACTCTACATAAAAATAATAATATTTTGCCACTTTTAACACCATGATGTAGTACTTAATATAGGCTGTATGGAGAAACTTGCACTTTTGTTTTCTCCTGCTATGTTCCAATCATTCCGTCTGTTGATATGACTCTTAGAGGAGGTCTGAAAACCAGGGATCCCTGTGGGTTCCTCAAACAGGGGGAGGTTGCCCAAGGCCAACTCAGCCCTCTCATTCCAAGTGGTGACTAAGACCTCTTCATATGCATAAGAGCAGCATTACTAGTGCCCATTTTTATACTATTGAAAAAAGCAGCTATCTAGGTATTTTAGCAGAACTGAGAGTCGGAGAAGGGATGTTTCAGTTTTTTTTATCACCATATCCCTCATGAAAATATCTATTTTCTCTAGTCTAGGGCTGATAGTCATGGAGCTCCCATTGGCACCCGTCAATTAGGTAAAATATCATCCAGGAAATAGAAGCAATTTCTGCGAACTCACATTTATACGTGCTGTAGTATGTTCTATAATCAGACCCAAAGACCTCTCTCTGTTGCTCTCTGATTATTTACACACTGTTTATTTGCCAAATGCCTATGATGCAATGAGTGTGGATGTGGGAGAGCTCCTGCAGGGTTCCTTTGCAGGCTGGTGGCAGTCTGGGCATTTGTGAGAGGGAGCCCGAGCTATGGCAATTCTCCCACTCTGTGCTTCACGAGGGCACCCGGTTTCCTGAGTTGCACGTCAATAGTCGGAAACAATGAATGGATTTCCTCTTCCTGACCCTGCTTACTTTTGATTTTACAGAGATAATATGTGGTTTCAGATTATGCCAGGCTACCCAGCCTCTTGGGATTTATATATTTGTGTGAACTCTCTAAGCCATAGCCATGCAGGTAGTCCTCGACTTACAACAGTTCATTTAGTGACCATTCAAAATTACAACCGCACTGAAAAAAGTGACTTATGACATTTTTCACACTTATGGCCATTGCAGCATCCCCAAGGTCGTGTGATCAAAATTTGGACACTTGGCAACTGACTCATATTTATGACGGTTGCAGTGTCCCGGAGTCATGTGATCATCTTTTGCAACCTTCTGAGAAGCAAAGTCAATGGGCAAGCCAGATTCATTTAACAACCCTGTTACTAACTTCACAACTGTACTGATTCACTTAACAGCTGTGGCAAGAAAGGTTATAAAATGGGGCAAATTCACTTAACAACTGTCTCACTTAGCAACATAAATTTTGGGCTCATTTGTGGTCATAAGTTGAGGATTATCTGTATTCTTTAAGCTGGTCTGAGGTGTAGGGTTTCACTACTCAGAAGCTTCTTTGATGTCAATATAACTTAATCTGCAACTAAAGCAGCGTAATATGAGGCTGTGTCACTTGTTTAAAAATTCTTTGACCTGATTTTGAAAACTTATGTGATTCAGGCACTTTCTTACTTTCTTACATTTATTTCACTCTCCAGTCTTTTCTTACCTGCATCCAACCACAGCTGCATGCCAATGAACACAGATCTGAGAAAATCTTTTCTTTTCTTTTTTCTTTTTAACTTTCCATAACATTACCTTCAATTGTCCCCAACCACGAGTGAGATGAGCATAGATTATCCATAGTTGTACTGGTGTTAAAATAGTATTTTCCTCCTTATTTCAACACTTTCTGAGGAAGGCCTCAAAGTCTATAAAATCTGTTAGGCTCTGTTATCCATTACTTTGAAAAGAAGTTAAGTGCTTGCAGTGATTTGCAGCAAAGGCAACAAAACAATTAGCAATTTCATGCTTGGTGTAATTTTTTGGCAGCTCACCGATTGATGGATAACACTTAAACTTGGTAATAGGGAAAGGTGCATAGAAGTTTGAAAAGCCATGTAGTTCCAGAAATTATGAGAACTAAAATGCATAGATGATGTTGGTGTATTTTCAGTGTTTTACCGAAGAAATATGTGGGATCCAGTGTTACATAGAAGGGTGGGAAATGACTCAGGAAAGATGTTTTGCCAGTTATGCTAAACTTCATCCAGAGTGTGTTTACCCAAACAGGCGACTTCTATTGTTCTCTGTCTAGCCCCACCCTGGGCTTAGTGTTATTTATGTCTAATAAAACACGAGCTCTCACAGACCAACAGTAGGGAGGTGAAAACAAGGAGGCAAACTCTGGGAAAGCCAGCAGTCCTGACTCCAGGCAACATTTTGCCAAATCTAGGAGACATTAGCTAATATAAAAATCAGTGCTTCAACATGTGCTAATTAGTGTTTAACTTCATGTTGGCAATACTAACTCAATTGCTCGGTTATATTTATTGGCCCTCATAGAGCTGCCTGGGATATATGCAGCTCCAATAATATCAGATTAACTGAATGTAAACTCTCCCACTGATAACTCTGTGACTGCTGCTGTACTGAACACATGTGTCAAAGTTAGAATTTTCCAGATTGATCAGAAATATTTGGCTTCTCCCTCCTGTGTCCTGCCTCCTCCCTCCAAAAATAACTTGGAGTGGCTGGCACCAATTTTGATTTCATTATTTATACATATAAATAACAGATTCTTAAAGACTGGAGTTTGGCAATAATTGCTCTAACTTTTAAGATGAGACAGATTTTCCTGACTATAGCAAACCAAGTCATTTATTAAGCTGCAGTTCTAGACTAGACACCTATACAGAAACTTTCAGACTACAGTAATGGAATTAGGAAAAGATACTTGTTACAAATAAAGCCCTCCAAAGCAAAGGGCCTGGGTGTTTGAGGGACTGCCAGTCCCCCTTAGGGTCTGCTCAGCTGATTTGAACCACCAGGATTGGATCAATTAAACAGTATGATCAATTGGCACTACAGAAATGTGTCTTCTTGCAGCAGTGTCTGCCCTCTACAGTGGGATCCATATGCCCCCTTCCCTTCTAGTGTTTGGAAGGGGCTTGAAGACCTGGCTTTTCTCCCAAGCTTTTAATGAGGGTGAGTGAGTATCTCTTGGATTATTTTTTCCAGTCCAATCCAGTCCAGTTTCTCTCATATTTCTATCTTTTATTCTTTATTTTTGTTGAATACTTTTTAAAAGTGTCTTTACTGGTGAGCTACATAAAATCATTTAAAGTCAGGCAGCCTACAGATTTTAAAATAAATAAATCATTGTTGCGAATGAACAGGCAGATTTCAGAGCTGGCAAAAGTACAAAGGGGAATAGATTTCTGTACCACTTACTTGATGAATTAAAATGAAGCAAAACAAGCTGCATTTATTGATCTTAAACAGGCATTTGATCATACCTTGAGAAATGGGGGGAATTATAGAGGTTCAACAACTGATTGTTGTCTTTTTGTTCTTATCTATAAGAAGTAGGAAAATACCAATCTTAAAATAGGATGAAATGCAGCAGACTGGACTTTTCCTCTGGTGTGGTGCGATGATCAGGAAAGAGGGACACTGAAACGGGCTTACTGAAGTAGAATAAAGGAAGATTAAGGTGGAGTTTCTGCAAGTGCAATAACCAAAACTTCAGTGCAGTCAGCCTAACTAAACTGGTTACATATTACCTGCTTTCCTGTGATCCAGAATTTCAGCACAAGTTCAAAGTACAATGAAGAGAAGATGGTTCTTCCTTCCTTCCTTCCTTCCTTCCTTCCTTCCTTCCTTCCTTCCTTCCTTCCTTCCTTCCTTCCTTCCTTCCTTCCTTCCTTCCTATCTCCATTTTAATAGAATGTAGAGAAAAGTGAAAACCAGCTCCTTTGGAGAAATTGACTGTTGCTTTGCCCAATTCTTCATATTTGATATCTTGGTCTAAATAGCAAATCAGATATAAAACCTAACCGCCTCCCCCCCCCCCATTATTCTTGAGTGAATAATAAAGGCATGGTCTAGTTTTCATCAGTTGTGCCTTTGAATAAATGGATTACATAGCAGACTTTCTTTTTCTTTTTTGGAAAAGTGGAATTCCATTTATTCATGCTGCTTAGGATGGGGTCAACTTATCAGATGCTTTAGATGACATAATTGTGCCATTCCACAAATTAGAGATTTGTCACACCTCTCTTGGTTGGTATCTTAGCCGAATGACTTCCTATTATGCTGCTCTCTTCTGTGGCAGGATCCGGAGATAGACATGGAACAATGGGTGGAGAGCAGGAAATGCTGTATGAGAAACAGGATTTCATGTCAGTGCTGAGCTGTCTGTAAGGGCCTCTAGGCATTCCTCCATCCTGCCTGATTGAACCCCAGCCAATTTTTTTTTTCCTGAGAGAGCTCCAGCAGCTCATGTTATACTCAGTCCATTTGCACTTTTAATCCATTTCCTGTCCTGCCCAGTTTTCTTTTGTGGCCATGCTGAGACTCTCCAGTTAGGCTTCCAAGTCAGCGTGGAAGAAGCAACAGGATTATATTCTCTCTGCAGCTACATGTGGCAATGAACAGCAAGCTAATATGGATGGATAGGCCTTTGGGTGCCAATGTGAACTCTTGAATGAATGAAGTTCCTGGAACAAAGAAAAAAATCCAACTTCTGTGGTTACCTAGGTGGAGTTTTTCCTAAGATACTCTGCATGATAATACCTTCTGCTGAGTTCCTTCAAACTGAAGAACCATACATTTATTCTGCTTGATCTAGAGACAATTTCCTTGTGACTGATTTACCTCTAGTAAAGGATGGAGGATTCAAGAACAACAAGCTTAAAAGATACATATGGCGAGTGAGAAATAACAGAAATAACTCTTAATACCCCTTCTTCTTCTGATATAGTGATGTTTCAATTCTCCTGACATTGAGTCCTTTCCTGAAAATGAGATTGGATACAATTGGTCTTCTCAGCTTCTTCTTGCACCTGACAGGTAAAATCTGTTTTAATTATTTCTATGATGGTTCACCACCACCACCACCAGAGTCATTAGTTTGAGATGGGCAGCTATCCAAATGAAATGAATAAACAAACCATTTTCCTTACCTAATCTTACCTAACTATACCTTACCTATCATCCATATTTCTACACCAATATTCTACCAAAGAACCAAAGTCAATTGAGTAGCTCACAAGCTGGGGTTAAAAAAAATCATGAAATAAAAACAGGAATAAAATGTAATGCAAAAATTATAACAAATCAATTCAGACTAAAGCCCATGTTATAACATGCAAGCAGTATAGGAGTCTAAAAATATTGTTTAAAAACCAAACAAGAAAAAAAATCTGAATAATAGAAAAGTATTTGGAATGGCGTCCCAAAGGCCAAACTGCGGCCCTATGAGACATTCATCTATTCCAGTGGAGAAAAAATATCATCACTGGAGTTCATATTGAAAGTAGTACCCAACAACTTTACTTTGGTATTAGAATGAAAGAGAAGGCAACCAAAATGATTCTAGAACTAGTGGAGAAAATAAAGAATTTAACCTCCACCAAACTCCTTGAAGCCAGAGGCACAGAGAACAGAACTTTCTTCTTTGAAGAATAGTATTTCTAGGTAGAACTATTCATGTGTGCATTTTCTTCTTTTTAATTCACAGTTAGATAGATCAATAGCATCTGCCAATCTACTCTGAAAGCTGGGGAGTTACAGTGAAAATAATCAACAGTGGTAGACAATCTAGGAGACCCATGTTAGCTTATGGCGGCAAAAAATCAGAAGGCATCTGGAAGGACGTTTTTGGATTAACAGATTTTTGTTAAAAGGCATGTGGCTCACTTCATCACTTGCAAAGGTTTATGCCCCTTAATAAAATGTGTTACTTGGAAAAGATAATAATAGATGGGTAATTTTGAAAGATGCAGTGAAACAGATAAATCACTTTATGTCCTCTTTTGTTGTGTTGCTTTTATTTTTTATCTAGATGTTGCAGGCACTATTAAAGGCATAATCAGCAGTTTTTCAGTTTGGAAGATACTCAGTCTTACTTAGCCAGCCCAGAGATATTCTATTTTTCTTGAGCCACATATACAGTCTTTGAGTACCTTGGTACTCAAAATACGAAATTCCACAACAAGATTGTGACCCATATTAAGAAGTGAGCAGACCAAAAACTAAATCTGTCTTGATTTTTATTGAAATTTTAATAACAAATATAAATGATATAGTCAGTTTCTATGTATTTTATGAAAGATGCCTTCTATCACATTTAATTTTAAAACATAGTGGCAATTTTTAGGGGTAGTTCTGGGGCTCACCCAAAACCTTAGGCCTCAAGATGGATTATTTTATCATCAGGACTCATCAGGAAACTAGTAGCTGGATTTGGGATTTAAACATTTTAACAGATTTTTCTTACCAATTTCTTACTAATAAGAAAAATAGAAGCTTGAAGAATTGAAGAGAGAGAGAGAGAGAGAGAGAGAGAGAGAGAGAGAGAGAGAGAGAGAGAGAGAGAGAGAGATTAAGCCATGATCCCAATTCACATCATGTGTTGTTGGCAATGTTGTATGAACAAAAAATATAAAGGGGCCATAACTTATTTTCTTTATTACAAAGCAGTTTAACTGACCAGCATGGGAGAAAATGAACTTCAGTATTCCCATCTGCAGAACATCAAACAAAAGTTAACATTTTTATGAGAAATTACATCAGAATGTCATATAACACTTAATTGAAAATAAGCCTTCAGGAGAAGTCTTTCCAAAAGGGGAATCATTTCACATGCAGAGATGGTTATTCAAAATTTTTACATGTCTAGCAATAAAACTTGAAATAATTTTCTAGATTTCCATGTTCAAAATATTACACAATTGATATGTAGCTGAATTTCACACATGCTAATTACAAGCATGTATTTTGATGTATGTAATTTTGTGAAAGACTGACTTTAAAGAATTTTGTCACATTCGTAAAGGATCAAAAGTTATTAACTTTGACTGTCAGATCTTCTCTCAGTTTGCTTTCCAAGTCACAACAAATACAGGAATAAATTAATACATTAGTGATTTAAGCTACACTGTGATCTGGGTGTAAATAAATAGCGAATTAGATTCCTCTGTGCTAGGAAAATATTTATCCAACACACTTTTATTTTTCAAATCCTTTGGTGACCAAAATAAAATGTACAAGGATACAGAATATCATTGTCCATATTCAATAATTAAAAATTCATTCAACAATTATTGTAATTAATGTTATATTATATTATATAATATAATATTATAAAGTATATAATATAACTATTATTAAAATGTATAAGCCATCCAACTCCCAGCAATCCAGGACATTATACAATTTTTTAACCATTTAGAAACAAAGAAACAACACAAAACCAACACAACCAAAGGAACAAAGATTGCAAAGAAGTAATAGAACTCTTGAAATTAGTTTTGTCAGGAGAGTGCTGCCCACTATAGGGATTTAAAAACTGAGCTGGGAGCAGGACCCCAAATAGTGATCACAGTAATATATTATGAAAAGGAGCTGTATCTCACAGAAATGCATATGAATAAGTCTTCAGGATGCATAGAGAGTTTTACAATCATTGTCATGACTCCTCAGTATAATTTCATAATTAAGGCTGAGGATTCTTTTTATACTTTCCAAGTATAATAAAAGTTGGGCAGAAAATATGTAAGTAGGGTCATAACTCTGTTCATCAGCATAATAATTCTCCAAAAACACAATGGGACCAAAGTTAATTTGGAGGAAGCAGTCAGAAAAAGAAAGATCAAATATGAAAATAAACCAGATAAGAGCAGGGACTATGGAGAAAAAAAAAATCCAGAAAAATTCCCCAGAATAGTGCAGAAAAGGTGACCGAGAATGGATACCAAGAAAAATGAAACCAGAATATAATCATCTACGGAGTCCTTGGTGTTCCCTGAGTTTGCAGACATTTCATTACTTGACTAGGTAACATCATCAGTACTAGTGAGTGTGAGGCTTACTCCCTGTTTATAATTGAGAAATAGCATTTGCATGATAATGAGAGTAATAACACTGAATTATTCTATTGGTCTGTTTATTATTTATTAGTTTTATAAATCTAAGTGGCTATGAGTATTGAAAAGCCTCATCCACTTGGAAAAACCAGAGGACTAATTAATATCAGCTTCTGTTAGCACTATTTGTTTAGTATTTTTCTTTATTCTTGTTTGCTTACGCTGTATGAGTTCCATGAGTTCTAATTCTTTCTCTGAGTCTGAGGCTTTCCTCCTCTGACTTTCCCTTTTCTAGGAGAGAGGCAAGAATCATACTATCTTACATAATCAAGGCAAGATTTACAGTAGCATTGAATCATTTGAATCATGCTTATAATTATCTGCTGTCCATGTCGATAAGATGGCTGCTTTGGTTCTTTTGATGCAGGCGCAATTCTGGATATCACTCTGGTGGCCAATGTTCTGAGTCCTTCACACAACAACTTCTACCTGTCCTGTGTGACAGGCGAGCGGAACATCAGCCTCCAGATTGACAGAGACAATGCCATGATCAAGACCACATCCAAGTTCCAGATATACAAGAACAGCAGCAAGGAAGTCCATATGCGAGGTTTTTCTCGAGCAGGCCTGGTGGGCATCACATACTGCCTGGGGAAGACACAGTCAGAGCAAACTAGAGTTGTTTATGTACACAACGACATCAACGGTAAGTGTGATAGAGTGATACATGTAACACATATTGATATGTGGTTATCTGAAGACCAAAATCTACACTTGAGTAATAATGAGAATGAATGTTTTCAAGTTAACATTTCTCAACATTTACTTCTTATCTGATATGATGTAATGCTCTCTGTCATGATGTGAGCCTTTTTACACACTATATTGTTGCTCTTCTATTGTTTGTGTGGAATGTTAGCATAGCATAAGTATGCTATGTCTGATGGGAAGGGCAAGGCAAAGAGCTTACTTTATACTATCTGTAACAGAGGAAAACCTATATGGTTTATATTTTAATTCCTACAAACCTGTTTCCACTCACCTCAGCTACCCCTACTATGTCAGATACACTTCTGTTCACACACACACACACACAGACACACACACACACAATCCTTGCAAATAAATTGAGATGGAAATAGGCCAGCAAGTCCAATCTCTAAATTTGTTTGGAAGTTCAAATTACATGATCCACAGCCATCTCCACTTGATCATATTCAGTGAAGAGAAACTGACCACATTTTTGGATAATACTTCCAATTCTGTCAGACTGCTATTCCTTTCCACATTTTTTTTTAAATCAATCAGAATTTGACTTCATCCAACTGAAATCCATTATCCTATTTGTTACATTCTGGGCTAATGGAGAACATCTTCTCTGTGACTTCCTTTCATCATGTCCCTCTGAGTCTTTTCTTTTTAAGAGTCAACATTTCCAGTTTGTTCAATTTCTTTTTATAACCCTTATATTGCTGGATTTGTGCTCATCCTCATTTCTCTTCTCTGAACCTATTCCACTTTCTCTAAATTTATCTCTGACAGCAATATCTTGAATTGGACCCAATACATAAAGTGGAAGCTGCAGAGCATAAAGTACTTTGGAATCATTACTTTCTGCAATCTAAATACTATACTTTTATCATTGCAGTATGAAATTATATATATGTATATGTATGTACATATGTATGTATTGCAGCCATATCATATTCAAATATCCCTTTTACCTTTTACCCTAACTGATCTGCTTGCCATTTGTTTCTGTGAAATGTCTCAATGTTATTTGTAGTCCATTTCTTTAACCTATCAAGATCATTTGGAATTTTGTCTCTGTCTTTTAAGGTATTAGCTTTCCACCAAAATTGTATCATCTTCAAATTTGATAATAAACATTCTTTCCACCTCTTCATCCAGTTCATCAAGACAATTTTTACATAAGGAGAGGCATAGGTCTCCCATCCAGACTGAAAAACACAAAAGTAGCTTACCGAACAAGAGATTCATCCGTCTTGTCAGTCAATAAGAAACTAATAACCAATAGCATTGATGCTCTGAGCCAATGTGGTGTAGTGGTGGAGGTTTTAAACTGGTACTGGGCTATAGTTAAAGGGCAACTGAGAGAAACGCTATATATGCCATCTTGAGGTCCTAAATAAACGTTGGGATATAAATGTAACAACAATATGAATTTTGTGTGTGTGTGTGTGTGTGTGTACTTCTGTACTTCATAGATTTTAAAACCCAACTTTTTTTAACAATAAAGAAATCTCTGTGTTAGCCTCTAGATCAGGGGTGTCAAACTGCAGCCTGTGGGCCAGTTGCATTATACAAAGGCCGCGACCACCCCAGCTCCAGCAATCAAAAAAAGTCGCAATACGTCGCGACACATCACGTGACGTGACGAGTTTGACACCCGTGCTCTAGATGGTGTAATGTTATCTCTCAGAGGTTTACTAAACCCTCTTCCTTTCTGTCTTCAGACTTTAATGTTCTCAAAAATCTTTTATAATTAGTTGTTTTATTTCTACTAAACTTTTTATAAGCTTCTCTGAAGCATAAATTGTACAAACAAGAGGCTAACTCAAATAATTTTGCTCTGTTACACTGTTAGTCAAAATCAGAACATCCCTATGACTGAATGATTATAATTCTTCATTTGTTATTTCAAATCCACTCAATCTTAAATTGCACCTTTATGTTGTCCTTCAATGCCTGTTTGATCTCTTTCTTCCCATAATGACATATGAAATGTCAAATCTAATAAAAGTGTTGCAGACGTCACTGTAGCAATGCAAAAGCAAATATTCACAGAACCACAGCAAACAGACACAACTTAAAAAGGATATAATTAAGAAAAGAATTAAAATAGGCACAACATTAGACATAAAAAGTAAGCCAAGAACTGTGCAAACAAAAATGAATGTTATGGTCAAACCCAAATGTCTTTTATTATTGTGCAAGCAATATAAACTAAAATATAAATCAATAGTGAAAATACTTATTTGTTCTGGGTGGATACTGCAATCTCATAAAATTTGTAGAAACTGACAGTAAAACCAATAACAAATTCAATATTTCATTGGATGTGGTTAAATTTTGTACAGACCAATAATTTTGATTGATTTAATATTTCTTGAGAAATCAACAAAATATCATATATGAAGGACTTGAAGCCTTACAGCAATCTCACTTTTAGCCATTTCTGATCCTTTTTTTCTCAGGATTGGTTAAACATTTCAGTTTCAGATTCACAGGACTAGTAAATGATTTTCCTTTATAACTCACTTAATAACAATGATAAACTTTATCTAACGAGACTGAAACCAGAAGAGCCTTAGTACTCATCTTTTCATAGATATCCACAATGTGTATTTGTGTTTGTTTGTGTGTGTGTGTTTGTGTAGATCTGCATCATGATGTTATCCTGTGTATGATGCAATGCTAATAAATTCATTAGAGTTTGTGACGCAAATTATATATCCATCTCATTTGTATTATGTCCTCTTGGCATAGGTGTTACCATTTCGATTTCATTGTGGCTTGTCATGGATGCCTATGATTCTTATCTTCCTTCCACGTTGACACAAACATGTTGGTTAACCCTTTTTATATACCACACCCTCATGATATTTCCTTCATCTCATTCCTAGCCTACATTGAGACAACTTTAGCTATCACTTTTAGCTTTCCAGTTTTAAAGTAACGTTTCTTCCCTTTTTTCAACCCAGTTTTTGCTGTGGATCAACTCACCAACCATGTAGCTGTTGACATTGGCAGGGGCTACAATCTGTTCAGCTGTAGCTAACTATTTTAGGCAGCAGCAAGAATAACTCTTCCCAAAGAAAAACTAGTTTTCCTATACTTTACAGAGGGTTAAACTAGATGAAACTTCTAGTTCTTTCCAACTCTACACTTTGCTATAATTCCACGATGCTGGAGACTGTCTTCCATGGCATGCAGAAGAATCTGGACATCTGGTTTCTGTAAAAGCAGTTGCCCAACTGGTGCTTTTGGAAAAGCCTGTAAAGTTTTCCATGGGCCCATTATAGATGCAGGCTTAGCACTTGTGAAAAGGATGAGTTCTGTGTTGTAGAAAAGATTGACTTAAACAAGGAAATACAGCCAGGTTCTTACAGATGTCTATTGCTGATGCTATTATCAGTGAGGGCATTACAGATTTTCTGTTTTTGCTTTCATTACTGGGAGTGGGATTGTCACCATTTTGCTTGTTCATATATTGAATTGCCTATCTATGGGCTACTTCCAAATACTGCTAGCCATGGCCACTCATACAGCAAGAACTATTTCAAAAACCTTTGAAACATATTTCAAAAATAGCAGGTTCAGAAGTCTGTAAATCCAGGTACCACAATGGAACTAGTCCCCAAAGGAATAACTTCATTCTGCATTCTGTGAAGAGTTTCCAAGCAATAGGATGCAGTAACATATGTTTCTTCATAGCAGAAGCACAATCAGCACATAAGCAAAGTAATTTTGCTTTACAATATCTTGCTGCTGATTTGATGGTTGCACCATGAAAAGGATTAGGCTTATCCAACAGATAGATACATTAAAATGGTAATGTGGTTGGGCTGATTGATCTGAGCAAAATATTTTTCTGGGTCATCTTTGCCTGTGCTCCTCACCCAACTTCTTGCTTTAGCCTGCAGCTTCCCCAAAGGAAGACAATACCAATAGGGAAAAAAATCCCCCAGAGTGAGTATTGTACCTTCGTCCCACACAGTGAAATATACATTTTCTGTATGTTCCCCTCTTCCTGGCAATGTATCTAGTCATTTATATGTTCCATAAAGCAGTATGTGTTCTGATAAGTGGTAGAAAACCCAGATATACTGTAAGTGTCCTGACAGTTATCTGAGGTCTTCTTTCAGATATCAAGACCATGTTCCTCTAATGAACAAGGAAGAGAAAATATTTCAAGGTATAATTCTGTAACCCAATTCCCTTTTTCTGTTCAACATTTCAGCCAACCTGGTCCCAGAGAAAGTGACCCACACAATCAGTCTTTCCCAATCAGCCATACTTGTTGCCAGGATAAAGAACGGGAAGAAAACAGATATCTGGTGGAAAAGGAATGGCAAGTACTCCCATCATCTAACTGCATGTCTGTGATAAGATCTGCCCTTTTTCCAAGACATCCAACTCTTTCTTGAAAAAAAAACTCTTAAAGCTTGATTTTTTTCTGTTGATATAGAAAAAACTAGGTATCCACTATAGGAGTGATTCTTAAGCATTTTAATCTCTGAACCCTTTCATATTCTTAATAATGATTCAAGACCCCAACGAGTTTTGGTTTGTGGAGGTTATATCTAGTGATATTTACTGTTTTAGGAATTAAAACTGATAAATGTTAAAATGCTTATTTCACTTCATGGAGCCACTGAAAGGGGTTCAGGGACCCCCCCCCCCCGGAGTTCCCAGACCACATTTTATAAAAAACCACTATGCTGTAGAAGCCATCGATCCATTATGAATGGTCATCCACAGATGGATCTATTTATTGGCTTCAAAATGGGAGCCTTGGACTTGCTTAGTTCCTCTACTATTCTACCTGCTTTCCTAATAGCAAACATCCAACTGCATGACCCCCTCACACCTCAGCATGCAAATCACATTCCAAAAGATGAATCTCTATTTCAGTAGTATTTGTTTGTTCATCCGCTTTGGCTTTTTCTATTTTACTTGCTTGTTTTTTATTTTTTTGTGTGCAGGGACTTACTATGACACAATGCACCAGGGTGAGCTAAAGGAGAATAAGTCCATTCTGGTCCTGTCGTCTGTTACCATGGCTGATGGTGGGATTTACAGTGCCACATTTATAGAGGACAGCCCTTTGTCAAGTGCCTTCTTCAGACTGATTGTGCGAGGTGAGACTGTGCATACCTATTGCAACCATTTAATGCTCCCTGACATATTATTGCGGCTGCCTCTTCTTAAAGAGAAGAATGCCTCTTCTTAAAACTACATCTCTCAACCTACTGCTCAAGAAATACTTTGAACTATGCAAGTCAATCTCTCTTTCAATCAAGAATGTTGACAGCATAGTACTAAACATCAGAAGTTTTCCAGACTAAGAAAAATTATTGTCAGATGGGTATCCCTAAAAAGAACAATGCTTTTCTCTTTTTACTAATTGTTCAGAAAGAACAATTTAATGGTTTGATCATCTTCACTTGCAGAAATGCCCTTTTCTATGCAACAGGTCACATGATCAAAATTTGGGTGCTTGGCAACTGGTTCATATTTATGATGGTTGCAGTGTCCTGGGGTCATGTGATCCCCTTCTGACAAGCAAAGTCAATGGGGAAGCCAGATTTACTTTACAACCATGTTATTAACTGAACAACTGCAGTGATTCACTTAAAAACTGTGGCAAGAAAGATCATAAAATGGAGCAAAATTCACTTAACAACTATCTTGCTTAATTTGGGCTCAATTCTGGGCATAAGATAAGGAGTACCTGTATTTTGTTGGAGTGCACCTACCATTCCCAAATAGCATGGTCAGTGAAGGACATTCATTTAGGAAACACTGATGTAAAGAAAATTGAATAAAAACGATTGGTTATGCAGATCTGAAGGCCTGTTTTTAACACACAAGTCATTTCCTGAGGTTGTTGCCAGAGACAGCACACAATGTATGAAATTATACTTGAACGTTGTGAGTGATTCTACTGTAGCTTTTCCTCTCTGGTGTCTGGAAACTTCATATCATTATTCTTCCTGTCTCTCCAGGTTGTGCAGCCAAGAAATGGGGTTCATTTTGTGACAAAGACTGTCCTGATTGTCTGAATGGGGGCATCTGCCATCACACTGTGGGAGAATGTATCTGTCCTCCAGGATTCATGGGCACCCGCTGTGAAAAAGGTTAGAAGCAACCTGTCATTGTTCTAGTGGAAATGGATCTTCCTGAGCCATGAACTGAACTTGAAAATCAGGAACTTCTTTACTGTATTATAGTAGTTTTCATGGGCTGCAAGGAATATGTCTGGTGATTAAATACAATAGTGGGGACCAGGATTGGAAGTTTTGTGTCTGTTCCCCCCCTTTTTTCCAGGCTTAAGAAGGTATGAAATCCAAAAAGCATCTGCTTTTAAGTTTTAAATGACCCCAAATGATTACAATTTGCCATTAGATTTGTGTCCTGCCCTGTGGTATACAAAAAAAATGAATAGGATCCTACATACAGCATCCTTGATAAAATGTGACTCAGTGGAACCAATCTGCAATTACATCAGGATAAACACTCCCTTTTGCATCAACAGCACATAATCACCAATGGCCCAGTCAAATGAAGTGGCCATCTTTGAAGGATCTTCACTGGAAAATTGATGAGGGGCCAAAAATTGAGTGACTTCCTGTCTTTTTTTGGGGGGGGGCATTTTGCACTGTAGAAAATCTGAATCAGTGATATCATAGACAGAATACCCTGATCTCCTCTGTTCTTATTCCCTTCTGGGCTGACTGCAGTTGGGGAAAAATGAGGGAGGGAATAAAATGAATCGCAAGAGAAGGATCTATAGATGCATGTGTATGTATGTCTGCCTATGTGTGTACATGGGTGTATATGTGTATACACATACACACACACACATGATCAACATCATTATAGCCATTGTCTATCCACTGCAGGATAAAGGCCTCTTCTGCATGTTTCCAACCAATAGGGTCCTGAGCTTTCTTTTGCCAATTGGGCCCGCAATACTTGCCGAACATACACACATACACACATACATACATGCAATACATATACAGAGAGAGAGAGTACATAATGCATATGTATGTGTGTGAGTGTGTAATGTATATCACTGTATGTATATGCAATATGGAAGGAAGAAAGGAAGGGAGGGAAGGAAGGAAGGAAGGAAGGAAGGAAGGAAGGAAGGAAGGAGGGAGGGAGGGAGGGAGGGAGCTTTCAATGCTTTCTGCAGCTTCCCACAAGGATGGGAAAGCTTCCCACAACTAGATTTGAAACCCAGCAGGAAGTTGGAAGTCACTCCTGTTCCCACTGCTTTTTTGCCCACCTGTGGTCATTCTGTTTCTCTGTTTAGGAAAGAAATATCTCTGAAATGATAACCCAACAGGGCATGGGTTGTCTAGTAATTTTTTAAAAAAAAAAAAATCCCAGAAGAAGGCAATGGCAAACCATTTCTGTAACTCTGCCAAGGAAACTGCAGTGATGCAGATGTTGGAAGTTATTCATCTTTAGGTTTTTCTTTTTGTCATTTACAAAGCGAAGAAGAGACAAGCTGAGGGCCAAATAGTCCCCACTACTGTAATCTAATTGTGGAATGCCAGTTCCATGCCCATGCTCTGGCATCCTACAGGGATTTCTACAGACTTACATATGCCCTCCCTGAAACTCTGCAGAGAGATTAGTGAGTGTCCTGTGAGCAAAGTTATAGTTGTGACATATGGGAACAGGAGTATACTAATAATCATTGTTGAAGTGAAAGATGTTCTCTGACAGGAACCTTCTTGCTTTTGCAGCATGTAGGGAAGGCCAGTTTGGGCGAAACTGCCAAGAGAGGTGTCTTAGTGAGCAGGGCTGCAGAGGCTTATCCTTCTGTCTGCCTGACCCATATGGCTGTTCCTGTGCCGCTGGGTGGAGTGGAGTACAATGCAACTCAGGTATGTCTACTTGCAATTGATTTATTGCAGCATGGTGATACTGCCATACTTACCCGGGTAGTAAACATGATCAAATGGATGGAATGAGGAAGGAAAGTAAAGAACTGACTTACTTTTCAAAAGGCAAGAGGGAAGCACTGGACCACTACACAAAAACTCCCCAATAAATCAGTAAAACCATTGCTGTATTAATTTCTTTGTTGTATTATTCTCAATAGGGGTTGACCCTTTTTTATCCAGGGGAGTTCCCCAAAATATCAAAGATATTACACTTACAATAATAGCATCAGGACTAATGTTTACTATATTTTAGAATCTCACTTAATAAAGAACCCATTATTTGAAATGCTTTGAGAATAATATGTAGAAAACTTAGAAAGCTAATATTTTACCACTTACAGGTAAATGTTCAGATACTAGAACTTGATTTTCTCAGTAAGTTAAAGTCAAACAATATTTTATATTCAGGTAAAACAGGTCATTTTTATAATAAACTCATTCTAACTCGAGTGAATTAGGAGAAAACAAGAATTATATCTGACAAAAACAAAAGATGGACAGCAAGGGTTGTTGCTATTATGTTTAATGCATGTACACTTTTGATTCCATTGTCACTATCAACAGAACAATTACATGTTCCCTGGAAAATCTGGATATGGAAAAGAAGTAAAAGAGTTCCTGCTTCATCCCAGACACAGGATGGTGCAGAAGCTTTATTCAGCTTTGGTTGCTTTCTCTGTTGGGGCTACATTTGGCTCATAGCCAGAAGAGAATGGCTTCCTCCTTTTGTTTCTTCAAAATAGTTTCTCTCCTGTTTAGCCCTGACATAGAGTCAGAAAAAAAGAAAGATGCTTGTAAGCAGGAAGTGAGTGGGGGAAAAATGTTTTAAAAGTAACCCTATCCTGACTGCCCGCCTGTTTTTAATGCTACATTTTCTTGTTCCTTGGCAATGATCTCTCCTACACTGTTGTTTGTGTTTTGAGGGGGAATGTTCTAAGTCAGGGTTAAGCAACTTGATACAATCCTAGTGGCTTGGACTACAACTTCCAGAAATCCATCTCCGCCATTAGGCTGGGGCTGATGGGAATTGAAATCCAAAATATTTGGAAAGCATTAGGTTGTCCATCCCTGCTCACATTACCCCAACACCAAAAACTGCATGATATTTTGGATACTCTAGAGATTGTTTTATTCTTCACTGACTGAAACACAAAATAACAATGCAAAGCATTTTTTGGTCTCCTTGAAACCATTTTCAACCTGAATCGTCAAGTTCACACATTGCCAATTATCAGAAAGTTGTACCGTTTACTGCTAAGAATATTATGACAACCTTCAATGTTGTGCCAAGTAAATACTTTTGCATTGGTAAATTCTAAGAGTTGACTTGTACCAACTTGTGACTATATTTAGATAGTGACAGATATTGATCTTGACCAATCACAATTTCTTTCACTATCCTCCACAACCACATCAACTATCTTTGGTGAAGTAACAAGATCAGGGTAATGTTTAAACTTAGGATAAGGGTTATGGAAACTTACGGTAAGAGGTGAATTTATTATATATTTGTATCTACATTGAAGAAAATTGGAAGTTCTTTTTTTATATGTCTTTTTCTTATATTTTTACTTTTCTGTTACACTTTTAATCTTTTTCTTGCTTTTCTTTTTTTCTATTTTTTCTTTATTTGTTTCTGTATTATATTAGTTATGGAAACTCAATAAGGTTATTTTTTAAAAAAAAATCAGGCTAATGAAAATATTGTCATGGTTTTGGATTTTATTTTTCAGACATTATGAGTTTGATAGCATATATGCCACCTTTAAAAAATAACCCCTTCCTCCTGCGTGAAAAGGAGACATTTTGTCTGTCTATACAGATCATCTTCACTTAATCGTGGTGATTGGAACTGTAATTTCTGTCATTAAGCAACACAGTCATAAAGCAGGATATCATGTGATTGTGCCACTTAGTGCCACTAGTTCCAGCAGCTCTGGTGACCATGGTTATGCAAATCCTACACTGTTGTTAAGTGCAACATCACAGAGTTGTCGTTTGCAACCTCCTGCCAGCTTCCCCATTGACTTTGCTCAGCAAAAGCCAGCAGTGAAAATCAGAAATGGCAATCACTTGATCACAGGATGCTGACATTATAACTGCAAGTTGGTCACCAAGCACCCAGATCATAATCATGTTGTGAGAAATTTTATATCCAAATATATTGTATTCTTTATACTGTTTCCATCTTCCCCTTAAAATATTAACAGTATCCACAATGGTCTGAGAATCAGTGTCTCCACTAGATAATTAACAGTCAAGCTATACTAAGTTAATCAACTAAAAATAGCAAACTTCCTCAAACACGTTATCCAGGCCTAATCCACATATCAAAGGATAACATCTGCAAACACAGAGTTAATTAAATTAGGTCTCCCAGAGGAACTGCATGTTCACAAGAATAAACATACCTACAGAGAGAGAGAGAGAGAGAGAGAGAGAGAGAGAGAGAGAGAGAGAGAGAGAGAGAGAGAGAGAGAGAGAGAGAGAGACATACACACGCCTCAAGTGTCACCCTAGAATCAGCACATGACTCCCACTATAAAAATTTGCTGCTGTACCTCATTTCCCTGCAGCTTGGCCATAAATACAAACTGTTTTGCTTTTAGGAATAAATATTTCTTCTTTCCTCACAACTGTCTGAATCTCATTTTTATTTATTCTTGCCCAGCCCCAGTTCGAGTTGGAATCCCAAATTATTCTTCTGACAACATTACCACGGGGATGCTGAAATGGCCACAATTAGAAGCACAGTCATATGTACCATTCATTCAGCCTTATCATATCTTCAAACAGTCATTGAATGAGTGTCATTAAGCAAGGACTGTTTGTATGCAATCCATATTGCCCCCAGTCTTGGCAAGTTCTCCATATACAGTACTGTAAAAGGAATTGACAAGGATTTCCCTTGAACGTTTCAGTTTCACAGAGAGTAAAGAGCAATAGTGAAGGAATTCTACATTGATAAAGTTGACACTTTCCTCTTCCCAGCAACATATACATATTGATAGGTTCCTGTAATAGTTTAAAATCAGAAAAAGACACTATTCACTGTGTTTGGTAGCATGGAAAATTGTATGAAAAAATTCCTGGTAGGAAATTAAAAGTATTCTTTCAAAAATTATGTTTAGGAAGGAAGGAAGCCTATTGTAAATCCTTCTTTCTCATTACACTGCATCAGTTAAACAACTGGATAAACTACATGTAAAATATACTCATGCATCTGTTATCCATCAGAAGGAGAAAGATTAATGAATGCTCTAACTAAAATAAATGTAATCTGTCATGTTATCTTTGACCAATAAGCTCGGTCTTTAAAATGGGTAGAATTGTTGAAGTTCTGATCCTTCTGTTCTTTCCACAGCTTGTTCCCTTGGCAAATATGGTCCTGACTGTACCCTGGAGTGTAACTGCCAGAATGGAGGCACCTGCAATCGATTCAGCGGCTGTATCTGTTCATCTGGTTGGCATGGACAGCATTGTGAAAAGTCAGGTAAAACAAGAGTGATAAGAACATGAATGAATACCTGAGATCTTCCCAAAATGAAGTAATGATTTAGGTTCCAGGGAAGAGGGAGGAGGTGTTAAAAAAAAGATGACAGCTACACACATAAGAAAGTTTGGGGTTTGATTACATGATCAGGGCTACCATCTTGACCTTTGGGACCAGGGCTCTCCAAACTTGGTAACTTTAAAACTTGTGTACTTCAACTCCCAGAATTCTCCAGCCAGCATGCCTAGCTGAGGAATTCTGGGAGTTGAAGTCTACAAGTCTTAAAGTTGCCAGCCCTGTTTTGCACCCTTTGCTGCAGATTCAACTGGTAGGTTCTTTTATAATTTATGGTGGCAGTCAGGCAGGATATTAGATTTTTAAGGCAAAAAAAACTAATTATATACAATTATATATAAATATATCAGATATTCACATATTAAAAAGAATGTTTTTTATTTGTTTTCCTATTTCACTTCAAACCCCTTTATATTTTTGATTTCTTATAGCTTTTAGCCTTGAAACTTTCTCCACTCTGACTGTAAATCCATTTCACCCATCCTGTTTTTACTCCTCACTGATTTACTGTTAAGACTGACTTGACTTGTATTGCTTGATTTACTGTTAAGACTGACTTGACTTGTATTGCTTTACAGCCTAGTTCCTAGATTTCTGTTACTTTTACTCTCTCTTCTCTCTCTTCTTCCTGCCCTGCTTCCTCTTTATTTCCCCAGAAAGACTTATTTTGCTTTTCTCAGGAAGCAAATGGGTATGGGTCCAGTTTCTCTCAGTAGGTACAGCTGTCATTCATGTTCTCCTGTTGAGATGACTACATTCCTCTATCTCAGACTTCACTCTTCTGCCAGTGAAATTTTCCTTTGAGTGAATAACAGAATAACAAAGTTGGAAGGGACCTTAGAGGTCTTCTAGTCCAACCCCCTACTCGGGCAGGAAACCCGATAACATGAATATCTGGATCATTTTTGCCAGCCTTCTTCCAGCCCTCATGGATTCCACAGAGTGGCTTCTCCTTCTTTCTTTGACTGTCGTATGTCTTGATGGACTTCTGACTTCTGATTTTCCTTTCCTTTCTTTCTCCTTTTTTCCCTTTTTTCTCTCTCCAGCCATCTCCAGCAGGGTCTATGACAATTCACTGTGGCCAACTTGCCTCAGCCAACTTGCCATGGGACAACTCGCGGCAGGACAAGAGTTATACTAATATCAAAAAAATGGTGGAATACAATCATTAAAGAAAGGGTGGAAAGGGAGGAATAGAATGAAATGTGAATGACAAAAATTAAAATATTTTTTAATTTTTTTAAAATAATTAAATTGAATTGTTAAATTGCCCTGTGGCAAGCTGTCACACAGCAAGTTGTCTGCAGCAAGTTGTCCCATTCCGTCTCCAGCATGCCTTCTTTTATATTCTCTCAACCAGCATTTCTAAATAACAGGTTTCCTAAACCTGCCATTTAATACTTATCAGTTCTCTCTCCCCACTTCTAGAAAGCCACATGCTTATGAACAGCAAAACATACATTCTTAGTAGGAAATACTAATGAATGGTTGTGATCTTGGTGAGAGACATGTAGAGATATCCTCACACAAGTACACAGAGGATACACTGTTTAATGAATATAAAGCATTTCCCTTTTGCATCAAATTTGCTTCTAAGTGATTTCATGAACCTATCCGTGACATTTTCTTGGTAACATTAGGGAAATAGTTTTCATTGTTCATGCGTGCATTTTATCCATTGCCATAATCCCAGTGGATGCTAATTTGTTTTTATATATTTCAAAATAAGAGTAATAATTCATACATTATATAACCTGGAATTAAGGAGAAACTTCCTGACAGTGAGGACAATTAATCAGTGGAATAGCTTGCCCCCAGAAATCGTGGGCGCTCCATCACTGGAGATTTTTAAGAAGAGGCTAGACAGTCACTTGTCTGAAATGGTATAAGTACTCCTGCTTGAGCAGGAGGCTGGACTAGAAGACCTCCAAGGTCCCTTCCAGTTCTATTCTATTCTATTCTATTCTATTCTATTCTATTCTATTCTATTCTGTTAAGGTATATCTCCAATACATTTCATTAGATGTAAATGGAGAGAGTGGATAAACATCATAAGGTATGTTAAAAAGCTTTTTCAGTGCAACTGTAATGAGTTAACCTTATTATGATATTTTCTGCCAAGACCGTATACCCCAGATCATCAACTTGGCGTCTCACTTGGAGTTTAACTTAGGCTCCCAGACCACAGTTACTTGTATAGCAACAGGCAATCCACCTCCTGTGCGTGATAACATTGAACTACGCAAGCCCGATGGAACAGTGATAATGGTAAGAATTTGCCCATTTGTGTGCTTTACTTTCTGTCTGATACTGTACAATCATGTGAAGTCTATCGCCTTCTCAATTCTCAACTAAGGTAAACTTTTCTCTGAGTACTGCAAACAGTGACCAAGGACGAGAAGATCCCCTGCCTCTGAATTCTGACCAGGTTCTGGTGACCCCTCCTGTTCTTTGGCATGAACAGAACCACCCGCTCCCCTTTTCTCTGCCACGGTCATAGCTGTGTCATGAATTGCAAAAATGGCTAATTCCAAATGAGTTCATGAAAACTAGACCAGATGACCAAGTTCTCAGAAGGCATCTAGTTTCTACTGTATTATTTTTTCTACATTGGTATTTCAGGATGTCCCATGTCTGAATGGAGCTTCAACAATGTGGTTGTTTTCTCACAAATGTCTTTTAGCAGATTTTGGCAAGATATGATGGTGTTATTGTCTCTCCTCAGCCCACAAAAGCCATCATGGAAAAGGACATGACAACCTGTGAGTTTCAAGTGTCACAAGTAGTCTCTTCTGACTCTGGCCTCTGGGAATGCCGTGTTTCTACCACTGGGGGTCAAGACAGTGGCAAGTTCAAAGTTACTGTGAAAGGTGAGAAGGCAGGACAGGTAATGACACATCACAGTTAAAGCTTCTGAGATACAGAAAGATAACTAAAATATTTCCAGAGTTTCTAAGTTTACTCCTATTCTGATTGTTCTCTATTTAAGAGGATACTCTATCTGTAGCTTCTTTCCACTAACACTTATCCAGGCAAAGGGTGGTTTAAGGAAAGGTTACTATTTTACTGAAGTATTAGTTCCCAAACAAAGGAAAATATTATTGGATTTTTAATCCAGGTAAGGATTGTTAGAAGGATTGTGCCAAGTACAGTCCAGGGAACAGTGATTTGAGAAATTATTGATCCAGATATTTTTTTTTATCAAATGATTTCCCCATCAAAGCAGGAGATACAATCTTACCCTTTTTGTACTCATTTGTAATGAATTCTCCAACCGTTCTCTCCTTTAGTGCCTCCAGTGCCATTATACCCTCCCAGACTTCTGGCCAAAAAGAGCCAACAGCTGGTGATATCCCCTGCGGGGCCTATTGTAGGTGACGGACCCCTCATCTCCATCAAAGTTCTATATAAACCTCAGATTGGAAGTAGCTGGTCATCTATTGAAGGTAAGGAATTTGTTGTATCTGGGATGAGATGACTTTCATGGCATATCCTTGATATGTTGGCTGGAACTGGACTTTTCAGATCCCTTCCAATCCTCCCTCTATTATTTATCTCTTTTTATTCCAATTAAAGAGATTTTCAATTCCCTAAGGTTGTTTATGTGGGTGAAGGTTCATTCTCTGAGCTTGTGGGCTGGTTTCCAAATGTTTCATTACCAGGCAAGTAACATCTTCAGCAGAGTTTAGGGGATCAAACTCCTTTGAAGATATTACCTAACCTGGTAATGAAACGTTTGGAAGCCAAACCACAAACTCAGAGAGCGAACCTTCACCTTCATCCTACACTCGAGCTACAGATATTTGCCACTATTGCAAAAATGTTTATGTTTATGTGGGGCATTTCTTCTGGCTTTGATTTCATAGATTGCTTTCAATGGAGAAAGGAATATTCTGTAAAGAGTAGGATCTCAGTATCCTGTTTCACCTTAGAGCTCAAACATGCAAATACAGGCAGTCCTGAACTTATGACCACAATTGAGCCCAAAATTTCTGTTGTTAAGTGAGACAGTTAAGTGAATTTTGCTCCATTTTATGACCTTTCTTGTCACAGTTGTTAAGTGAATCACTGTAGCTGTTAAGTTAGTAACATGGCTGTTAAGTGAATTTAGCTTCGCCATTAACTTTGCTTGCCAGAAGGTTGCAAAAGGTGGTCACATGACCCCGGGACACTGCAACTGTCATAAATATGAACCAATTGCCAAGCATCCAAATTTGGGTCATGTGACCATGGGGATGCTGCAACAGTCATCAGTGTAAAAAACAGTTGTAAGTCACTTTCTTCAGTGCCGTGGTAACTTCAAATGGTCACTAGCCGAATGGTTGTAAGTTGAGGACTGCCTGTAGTCTCATGTCAATTCAAAGCAGCAAGTTGCTAAACATCAAAACATCCTGGGGTTTCCTTGGAACCAGCACTGAAGAAGAATTATATGGAGAATATTATTGCTAATCTGTTTCTCCAGCAGCTTTTGGCATTAATTCTGAAGATGGTTCCTCAGCCATCTAAAGCATTTCTTAGAGTGGACTGGAAGAATCATAAAATAACTTTCTCACCCTTTTTTTCCACTGCAAGTATCTACTAAATATTCCTTTGGATCTAATCCTACATCTAATTTGGGTATACTTCTTCTTAGCCATCCAGACAAAAAACTAGTAGATTCCAGGTTCTAGATTTCTAGGGTGTCTGCCCAGCCAGTCATGAAATTACAAGTTGTATTTAGCAATATAAACAAGAGCTCCATAATATATATTATTCCTCAGGGAATACTTCAGAGAACCTAGAACTAATAATGTTTCTCTCTGCAATAGATTGTAACAGAAAATGGATTATTGTTAGGTGGAGCAGAGAGCTGTTGATCCCAGTTAAAGGGTTCTGCCCATTGAGTTTTCTGTAATAGAAAATAGATAAAACAGATGAAAATAGATGAAACCCTTGAATTAATGGCTTCTATACTGATCAGCAGTTGATAACATCCAGAACATCACGCTCATGAACCTGCGACCTGTCACAGCCTACATTGTTAAGGTCCAGCTAACACGTCCTGGAGAGGGAGGAGAAGGTGCCACAGGCCCAAGTACTATCATGGCAACAGATTGCAAAGGTAAGTGCTTAGTAATTATTTCTCAGATCTATAGTTTTAGGGTGGGGGAGAAGGAGAAAGATTATGAGATTAAAGATTAAAGAGAAAGCAAAGAAGAAATATAAGACAAAGAGAAAAAGTCAATTTTTACCAATGGGTGTAGACTTTATTTTGCATTTTATGTTCTCTAAAATGTGTTCTTAGGAACAATCAGATTGTGAATAAAAAGGGATCTATTTGTTCTGGCTTGGAACCAATTTTTTTCCTTAATGTCGATCCAAGCTCTTTGAATTTGCTTTAATCCTCCTTTTTTAATATATTATAATAATAATAATAATAATAATAATAATAATAATAATAATAATAATAGTAGTAGTAGTAGTAGTAGTAGTAGTAGTAGTAGTAGTGGTAGTAGTAGTAGTAAAGTTGGACAGGACCTTGAAGGTCATCTAGTCCAACCCCCTGCTCAGGCAGGAAACCCTATACCATTTCAGACAAATGGCTGTCCAGTCTCTTCTTAAAAATTTCCAGTGTTGGAGCATTCACCGCTTCTGGAGGCAGGTTGTTCCACTGGTTAATTGTTCTCACTGTCAGGAAGTTTCTCCTTAGTTCTAGGTTGCTTCCCTCCTTGATTAGTTTCCACCCATTGCTTCTTGTCTATAACATGCTAGCATTTTCAATTTGGCAGTTTGGCACCTACCCCAGTTGGCTAATTTTGAAAAGCTTTACAGGATCAGATACAACTGGTATTTGAGAAGTCTTTGGTATTCTCTGGTCTTGATTGTTTTCTTGCAGAGTCTCATCACTCAAATTAGGTAATATCATCAATGAAACATCTGCAAGAAAACAACCAAGCCCAGAGAGCACCAAGGACCCCTCATTTCAGCCTTGAACTGCAAATAGTCTCTATTGATACAACTGGGAATTTTTAAAAAAAAATCTGGAAGAAGGCAATAGCAAACCAGTTCCACATTGCCCAGAAAATTGCAACTCAGAAAATGTAGCAAAAATGGAGCAATTTAGTAAGTCACTGTAATAAAGTCAGAAACTGGCTAATTGCTCCCAATTCTGCTATCTTCTTCATTTTAAGTTGTGGAACGAAAATCTGCTTGTATCTAGTTTTATCTGCAGGATATGATATTTTGAGTAAGGGGAGATGAGATGTCACCCTCAAAATTAGTGAAAGGGACAGGAAAAGAAGACACTTCCTGTACATGGCATTTTTGGTTTATACAAGGAGAACTGCTCACCTCTCTTCTCAGCTAGCATTACCTTCTCTGATTGCTGGAAAAGAAAATGCCTTGCAGCTGAGTGGTGCTATCTTTGACCATCTTTGGGGTAGGGATAGTGACTTCTTAAGTTTGGTAAAGCAGCTAATATACTGTTGACATTGCAGAAAGTGTAATTGTGTGCTGTATTAAAAACCATTGAGAAGGGAATTCTACACAAAGTTCTTGATGGAGGAATTCAGAATTCCTTGCTCCTTTCTGCTACTGAAAAAAGAATCAGATTGATGGGTTTATATATTTCTCTATTTCATATAGAACCAACAGCCAAACCTGTAATTGAAGGTTCATTTTTTGAAGGGAGCAACAATCTACGTGTAAACTGGAATTTGCCCAAAAGTGACAATGTGGGTTCGGGATTTCTTGTCAGGCTCTATGATGCATCCAAAGAGCTTGTACATCAAGAAAATGTTACTTCCATGATTGTGCAGTCAGCATATATTCCGAATCTCAAATTCAAGGAGGACTATAGCCTAGAAGTAATGGTCTATCACTGTACCAGCTTGGGACCACCATCTGATCTCCACACATTCATGATCAACAGTAAAGGTAAGAAATCTGTCACTTGCAAAATGAACAGGATGGCTTTAGAGTGGGGTACTCAATATAATCCAAGTGATCCTTTGGACAATAAGTATTATATCACAGATCAGGGTTTTAAAATATGCCAGACTTTTAGTCTTGTGTTGTACGACAGATGGCCTAAAAAAATCCAAATTCTTTCTCACTGATCTCTGTCAGTCTGTCTGCCTGTCTCTCCATCTCTCCATCTATTTATCATCCATCTCAATCAGCAGTGGGAAGGAATTTGGGGTTGTTTTTTTAAAGCCAGCTGTCATACAACACAAGAGACCTCTTCTCGTGCAGTAATTTCTTTGAATTTCCTGTTTTGCTATGGGAAGCTGAGGGTATCATGAAGTAGCTACTCATTGTATTCCAGTATGATGACAACCCGGCTAGTCAAATCCCTTTGAGCCCCGGAGCCCCTGCCTCAGAAGGAGGTGAATTCTGTGTAGAATCTGCAGCAGTTCCACGATTGGATCATTGAATAAAAGTCAGCTAGCATATATAATCTGTAATAGTCTGTAATAAGAACATGTAAAGATTGCATTTATTCTCTATACTTACATTTTATATCTTTTTAAACACTTTTAAACACTTTTCAAATGCCTGATGTTCTTACAGCAACTCTCGCTCCTCAAAGACTAGAACAGGGGTAGGCAACCTTGGCTCTTTTATGACTCGTGGACTTCAACTCCCAGAATTCCTGAGCCAGCCATGCTGGCTTAGGAATTCTGGGAGTTGAAGTCCACGAGTCATAAAAGAGCCAAGGTTGCCTACCCCTGGACTAGAAGAATGTCGCCTGGTTCCATGGTGATTTCAAGAATTGCTGGGAAAAGTCGCTACATTGCAAAGAGCCCAGAGCTTTCAGAAACACACCAGGCCTTTAAAAGTTAATGACATATCTCAGCCAGCTTAGACACTGTAGATAGCTTTTCTATTATCTTTGGATCTGATCCGAAAATTATTCTGTGGATTTTTAGTAATGTTTAAAAATGGCAAGAAAATGTGCTGGATTGGAGATTCAACCACAAAAGGGAATTCTTAAACGAAACAGACTGTTCCTTATGCAGGTAGTCCTCGATTTATGACCACAATTGAGCCCGAAATTTCTGTTACTAAGCAAGGCAATTGTTAAGTGATTTTTGCCCTACTTTATTACCTTTTTCTCACGGTTGTTAAGCAAATCACTGCAGTTGTTATGTGAATCATGTGGTCCTTAAGTGAATCTGGCTTCCCCCATTGACTTTGCTTTTCGGAAGTCAGTTGGGAAGATTACAAATGGTGATTACATGACCCCAGGACAGTACAATTGTCATAAATACAGGGGATGCTGTAAAGGTCATAAGTGTGAAAAACAGTCATAAGCACTTTTTTCAGTGCTGTTGTAACTTCAAACGCACTAAACGAATGTTGTAAGTCGAGGACTATCTATATGCTAAGCCAGGGGTCTTCAAACTTGGCCCTTTTATGACTTGCTGAGGAATTCTGGGAGTTGAAGTCCACAAGTCATAAAAGGGCCAAGTTTGAAGACCCCTGTGCTAGGTTACTCTGATAGAAGGTCCCAAGTGCCTAGATGATTGTGGCACCGCGTGGGCATATATTCCAGGCCAAAAAGATCGATTGCAGAGCTAACAGCTGTGCTATTTGCCTCCTCTCTCAGGACCCTCATCACCACGCTCTCTCTTGGTGAACCCCCTCTCTGATAACTCCATCAGGCTATCCTGGCTAGCTCCTGAATACTCTAATGGGGGCATCAACAAATACATTGTAGAGGTGCAACAGCTGGGAGGCAGCAATGATCCACACTGGATAGACACAGAGAATGGCAGGGATACCACAAAGATTATCACAGGGCTTAATGCCAGCACAATCTACCAGTTTCGGGTGCGAGCCAAGTCTTACGTACTGGGCGAGTGGAGCGAGCCTGCGAAAGCTGAAATCCTGGGTGATGGTGAGTGGGCCAAAAGCTTATTTGGTTGGATGGTGCAATGAAAAATTGGAAGGGGGAGAATATTGGCAGAGAAAGTTTCACATACATCTAGCATGCTTTGACCAAGATTCTCCAAACAAGCAATGGCAACGATCTTGGCAAATTTAGCCTGGAGGCAGAACAGCTTAAGAACCCACAAGTAGCAAAAAGCCATCTTTATTGTATTGTTTGTTGGGTGTGTACCACAAAGCCAATCATTTAATTTCTGTCCCACAGGAGCCCTGAGCCAAGTGCCTACCCTAGAAAGTAAAAACTTGCCTCCGTCTATCATGGACCAGCAATTGATATTAGCCATTGTGGGCTCTGTCTCTGTCACCTGCCTGACCATATTGTTTGCTCTCCTGGCCCTTTTCCTCATCAAGAAGAATTGTTTTCATCGCCGCCGCACCTTTACCTACCAGTCTGGCTCAGTAAGTGCTGTTGTCCCTGGCCCATTCGCCTTCACTTCTCCAATGATCTTGACTCCTTTCCATCAGCATCCTCATTCTTTGGCTCTCTGGTACTTGTGTCCCCATGCTGCTGACCTGTCTGGTCCACAGGGTTACCTGCAACCATTCTCTCCCCCAAATCCTCTCACAGGGAGAAGAAACTATTCTGCAATTCAACTCAGGCACCCTGACCTTGACCCGCCGGCCCAAACCACAGCCTGAGCCACTCAGCTATCCCATCCTGGAGTGGGAAGACATCAAGTTTGAGGACATGATAGGGGAAGGGAACTTTGGACAAGTCATCCGAGCCATGATCAAGAAAGATGGCCTGAGAATGAATGCTGCCATCAAGATGCTGAAAGGTGAGATGTCTGTTAAGGCTATTGGATAACCCTTCCCTCTCTAGCAGACTGGTTGAATGATTAGACCACCAGCTCTGATTCCTGACCTTTTAGCTGGCGGTCAGGGGAGAAATGTTAATAACAACAATATAAATACAAATTCTTCCTATACAATGCAAGATTCTCCTCTAGCAGATAACGGATGCACCAGCCTCTCCTTACACAGAGGAAGCCAAGGGCGCTTGCTCAGAGGACAAATTAAAGGGTATCTGAGGCTATAAAATCATGGATATTTAGAATATATTGGCATCACATAGTTAAATGGATGAAACTAGTTTCATAACAATTCCTTATTTGACTGAAATGGTACTGGGTTTTCTGTCTGAACAGGTGGCTGGACTAGAAGACCTCCAAGATTTCTTCCAATTCCATCATTCTATTCTATTCTATTCTATTCTATTCTATTCTATTCTATTCTATTCTATTCTATTCTATTCCTCCCCTCAAATCTAAATCTATATAAGAAACTAGAGAAATATTTAGTTACTTAATTATTCATTTACTTATTAACCATCTTTATACTCCTTCTTCACAAAGGGCTTCATAATTATAAAAAGGTAAAGATAAAACGAGCAAAACAGAACAATTACCATAACACTATTAAGAATCAATTACCTCAGAATTACCTCAGAACACAAGATTAATTTATTTATGCCGCCTTCCTGAAAGATAGCTGGATAGTGAAAGATCAAAACGTCAGCCTTTTTCAAATGCTTTAACCTTTACACTCTGCCACCTAAGAACAGCCACCACCTTCTCAGTCTCTGCTATAGGAGGGAAAGAGGAACATTGTGCAAGACGTTCAAGATCCTATTATTATACCCTATATAACAACAGTCTTCACAACTTTAAGATGTGTGAATTTCAGCTCCTAGAATTCTCCAGCCAGTATGCTGGAGGTTGAAATGCATACATCTTGAAGTTGTCAAAGTTGAGAAACACTACCCCATAACAATGGAGATCCAGTGGTTCAGGAAGTGTCTGTTTCCTGATCTGGCCTCCCTCAAAAACTGACAGTAGTATGGAAATATATTTGATACTTTGCTCTCACAGAAAGAGAAGCTTAGGGAGCCATTCAATCGCAGCTGATTTCATATATTGCATCGTAAAATTTAGACATGTAGATTCAACACATGGATGCAGTAAGTCTTTGTTCCCCTGAATGATTGTAACTAATATTGCCAAAACTTTTCTATTTTCATAGCACTCCAAGGATTATGTTCTAGCCCAACTTCCATAGCTAAAATGAAAAGAAGGTGGAAAATACTCAATATAAAAATGGTCCATTGAAAGAATGTCTTCTAGATTAACTTCACCTGGAAAACAGCAGAGTTCTAAAAATAAAAAAGAAAATGTTTGGATGTGTGTAATAGTTATAAACTAGGAGATGAGAAAATCGTAAGGATATCCTCCCCCTCTATTATGATCTAGATTTAATTGTACATTAGGTGAAGAAATATCAAAGGAATTTTACGTAATATGTATTTTATGTATCATGTAACTAGTCCTAAGATAATATATGCAGCTGCTTTATACCAAATCAGATAACAAATATGTTGATCTAGCTCAGTCCTGACAATTCCGATATGGAGTGGGCTCATCTTCACAGCCTGCAAATCATGACACAAAGATGCATTGCTAGTTGTTTTTGAAGGACGTATTCTGACAGCCTTTATTTCATCCCCAGCCTACCAAAGGCAGCTTAAATTCAGCGGTACAACGTTTTCTCTCTTCTCCCAAGGATCTGTGGCACAGTAAAAATAATTCTAACAGCCCCAGGAGCTGGGATCTTCCCAGGACTGCTATAGGCACACCCGATCCCCTGTAGCAAGTGCAAATTTGCAGAGCTATTCTGCATGTGTCAGTGGAAGAGTCTGCCTCTTTCAAACTGGGCTTTTTCCTTATATCTGCCACATTTCTGATTGTACAGCATGGAACTTTGGGATTTGAGACCTGGCAAGAAAAAGCCATTTCTCCCCATTTCTCCTGCAACTTTCCCAGCCCTACAAGCTGTTTAGCAAGTTACCAAGGCCTAAGAGGAACGGCAGTGGTGAAATTTTTTTTCCCTCTGCCAGATCTCTAGTTGCCCAGAACTTACCAATGTGGTCAGAAACCTGGCAGGGAAATCTTCCCATGCTTAATCCCAGTAAGTCTAACAAATGAAAGGCTTTAATTAAATCAAGAAAGCTCCTCTCCTGGTTTACTATGATGCTTCCACCCACTTGTTGATCAAGTTTAGATAGATGTCCAAATCTTCTTCTTTCTCACCTCCAACCTATATTATTAACAGCAATTGCTGAATTTTTTTTCCCAGTTGGCAGGAAATCCACCGATACCTTTTCTTAACTTGTTCTACCTTAACCTATGAGTTACCTTAAAGCACCACTTACAGGCATCTTTACTGAATAAGCTCCGCAGTGAGCTATGAGAGTAGTACAATTTATGCACACATATTTTCTGCTGATTCTGAGACAGAAGCAGTGGTGGGATTCAGCCGGTTCACACCACTTCGGTAGAACCGGTAGCTAGGCCCAGAATGGACGTCCGGAAGTGGCATCCACACAGAGAACCGGTTGTTCACATATTTGAATCCCACCACTGGACAGGAGGAATAGTTGTGACTATTCACACATGAAGATGCCAGGGGCTATGAGCTGAAAATCTTTCCTACCAAACAGGCCATCTGTTATAATCCTCATGCTAGCTAGCTTTCCTAACTGAATTTGACAAAATTGACATCCTCATCTATATTTCAGAATTTGCCTCTGAGAATGATCACCGGGATTTTGCTGGTGAACTTGAAGTTCTTTGCAAGCTGGGGCATCATCCCAACATCATCAACTTGCTGGGAGCCTGCGAGAACAAGGGTGAGTGCCAGTGACTCAACACAAAATAATCTCTGGACTTAGATCAGAGGTGGGGAACCATGGCCCTTTTATGACTTGCCGGCTTCAACTTCTAGAATTCCTGAGCCAGCCATGCTGGCAGTTGAAGTTCATAAATCATAAAAGGGCCATAGATCCCCACCCTTGATTTAGATTAAGAAAAAAATAAGAGCATAAGATTATTTTCAGTACTCACCATTATTTCCATTTGTCTGCGTTTTTTCTCCTAAACTACAGCATATTGGTTGAAGTATCGTTCCACAAATGCTATCTATGGCTGAAGAGATCAAAATAATGATTTTTTTTAGTAATCTCTTACCTGGCCATTAACATTTCTTTCTCTCTTCATTTCTTTTTTTAGTAATTTTATTAAACATTACAATTAAACAGATAAAAATTAATATAGATTGAAAATCCAAAAGAATAAAAGCAGCAAATAAAAAGTGCAGAAAAGAGGAGGGGAAAGAAAAACGATTTCACATTTTTGCCATGGTTATCAACACTGCTCTTTCAGAGATGTCTTCAGTCCACATTCTTTCCCCAGAACCTGAATCGTGGAAGCCAGCCTTCTAACCTGCATCCCTCTCACCTTACATGAGGGTGGTTCTTAAGTAGGACCTTCCTATATGTTATTACAATACAGACAGCATCCGTATGAACAAAACGGTACCTGAGGAACATCAGCTGATGGGCCCAGAATGGTACTGCTCAATATTTAACTGATAGGACCAGGCAGAAGGATGTGTCTCCTGAAGCAAATACCATCCACACAGGTCCTGCTGCATAGAATTGATAGACCAGCAAAGGAAAACAGACTATCCAAACTGTCTCTCTACACTGGGGGAATGGCATTAAAACAGCAAATGCATTTTAATATATACAATGAACTATGTTAGAGCAAACCTATCTATGCACAGCATGCATGTCCAAACGTTTTATTTCAGTAAATTTTTAAGTGAACAGAAGCTGAAATAATCACCAATATATTGACCACCAGGGAGCAGCACATGAACAGTTAGAATCTGCATAGATTATCTCTGCTCTAAAAGCATACAGGAAGATGAACTGTATATACAGTAAATGCTGTTCTAAAGATAAATACAAAATATGACATAATTTTGTAAACGTTTTACATACTATTTATGTTGTTTGCATATTCAAAGTAAGAAAAAAGGTAAATATCATAGGAGCAGAAGTTTCAACCCCTTTCAGGCAATAGTTTTGCAAAAATTATACTCTTCAAACATTTCCTGTCTGGGTGGAGGGAGGAAAGAGGAAGAGGCAAACAACTGGAAGGGCTTCAACCTTCTCCACCTGCCCTATTCACTGTTATTTTGAATCTGTACACAACTGCACACAAATAATCAAATCTGTAGAAAGAGATCGTGTTTCACTTGGCACCATTTAGTGGTTGGATCACTTTTTGTTCTCTCCCTAATTCACTCAAAAATATGATTTGAATGGAGTGCAGACACTTTGTTTAAATGAGCTAGTTGTCAGGAAAAGCCGTCAAGATTGCAGCAGGTGGCTCAATCAACAAATCTTTGGGTGGTGGTCAAAGTATATTCCTATTATATTAGGAAACATTAATAAAAAGATCAATAATACATGTATTATAATAATTACAAGTGCTGAGGTACTGAGATGACACAGTTTGACAGACTTTGGCCTAACCTTCTAGGTTACTTATACATCGCTATTGAATATGCACCCTATGGGAATTTGCTGGACTTCCTACGCAAAAGCCGAGTGCTGGAGACAGATCCTGCCTTTGCCAGAGAGCATGGGACGGCCTCAACCCTCACATCCCAGCAGCTCTTGCAGTTTGCATCTGATGTAGCCAAAGGCATGCAGTATCTGAGTGAAAAACAGGTCTGTATGCCAAGCAGCCCGAGTCTCTGGACTCACTGATCAGTCATTTGTATATCCAGTTCCTGTTTCTGCTGTGTTTCACAAACACAGAATGGTAGAACTGTGACCATTCTGGAGAATGACTTCACAGGACTAAAATAGTGCAAATGTTTTCAGAAGGAATTATTGGGAATTTGGAGAGCGACCGATAGAAGCAACTGGGTATTGTCCTAGTATGAATTAGAACCGAATGAGTTAGAATTTTGAATCACGGATGGTCATGCATTTTCAAAGAAATCCTTGAGAAATGTTAGGTTTGAGATGCACCAAGGAATTCCAGTCCATTCACAGGAGAACATGTGACTGTTGTCATTGCCTATAAAACAGTGGCATTCTTTGCCAATAGCTATATGAATTTTTATTGTTGCCTCTTTCCTAGTTTATCCATCGAGACCTAGCTGCCAGAAATATACTGGTTGGTGAAAACTTGACCTCCAAGATTGCTGATTTTGGTTTGTCCCGAGGAGAAGAAGTTTATGTAAAGAAGACAATGGTGAGTTTGGTAGAGAATCACAGCTAAGTGGGAATTAGAATAACTAGAATATTCCTTGAGAAACACTCTCCCACATTGCCCATGCTTCTTTTCTATTTTGAAGAAAACAGTGTTCCATATCTTTTTCTTTGTTGTCTCTCCTTCCCCTGCTTCTTATTTTTCAAAAAATGTTGCAGGGACGTTTACCAGTTCGTTGGATGGCCATTGAATCCTTGAATTACAGTGTATACACAACTAAGAGTGATGTGTGAGTATCCTATCCTTTGGGAACAGGGTTCACCTCACATTTCAAGTGGTAGGCACTGCTCAATCTTCCACAAAGTCTTTTGATCCTTTTCTCAGCTGACATAATAAGTAAGGTACGTTGTGACCAATGTTTGATTCAAGCATTTCCAACAACGTAGCTGTCCTCTAGGAAGATTGTTCATGCTAGCTAGAACGTATAGGGGCTGACATCCAGCAAGTTTTTAGATGTTGAAAGACATGTAAAATGACTTACAATTGGTAAACAGAAGATACTGAGTTTTTAATATTTTCTTTTCCTTTGTAGATTAAGTAAGGAACCAAAACCAAAATAAATGTAAAAAAAAAATCAACACATTCTATTACTAAGCTAAATATACTAAAGGTCCACAGCCCACATCCTAACTTATCTTTCTGTTTCAGGTGGTCTTTTGGGGTCCTTTTGTGGGAAATTGTGAGCCTGGGTAAGTTCCTATCTAGTGAGAACAGGCTGGACTTTGTTCCCTCAATTGTCCTTCCATAGTCACCATCCTACTTGGGCCCCACACTGCTTTGTACAGCTTGTTCTTCTCATAAGTTCCACTTCCTCATATTTCTCTCTGTGGCAAAAAAAACCTTCTTCATTTCGTCTCAGCAAGATGAAGTAATTAGATTAAAACATTCATGGTTGAAGCAAGCACAAAGTGTGGACAATCTGAGGATTCTCTTAAGGGAGAAGACAAAGTGTACATAAGTTCCTATCTCATGCTTGTTGCTTTGATATTTTCAAACATGCTACACTTTTCACTGGGTGGAGACAAAAGATAAGATGGTTCTAATGTAGAAATGGACAGTTCTGGAAGAGATGGCAGTATTAAGATACCAGCTTTGTCCTGGAAATTAAAGGCTACTATACATGTGCATTATATCCCCAAATGGGTAGATGGGGCATCTTATCTGTCTTTCCTCTTGTTAGGAGGGACACCATATTGTGGCATGACATGTGCTGAGCTTTATGAAAAGCTGCCACAAGGATACCGCATGGAGAAGCCTCTCAATTGTGATGATGAAGTGTAAGTGGAAGCCTTGTTCAAACATCCACTTTCTGCATATTTCATTTTCTATCTTCTAATTATATTACATATTCAACCATATTCCGTTGATGGTAACTGGCAGACTAGGACTTGGTTTTCACATGTTCTCATTGTTTCATTCTTGTGGAAATGCTTAAGAGAAGTGAAAACAGACTAGCTTTTCAGGGTAGACTATCCTGGCATTTCCTCTATCCTCAATGTTTTGTCATTGTTGTTTTTAATTTGTCACTTCCTCCTGCAGGTATGAATTAATGCGTCAGTGCTGGCGGGACCGGCCATATGAACGTCCACCATTTGCTCAGATCTCAGTGCAGCTCATTCGCATGCTAGAAGCTAGGAAGGTATTGATATCAAAAGATTGTCCTACTGTGATCTAAACAATTACTGTGAGCTCTGGAGTGTTTATAATCAGATACCATTGACCAATGTTACCAATAGAATAGTCAATGCACTATTTTCATGGCTTCAGTTGAAAAAGACACAGTGTCAACTGTATCTCTCAATTTACTTCAGAATGATGGGATACAGGTAGTCCTTAGAGATATAAACCAGTAGGAGTATATCAAGCGATTGTCCCAAGGCATGGTATAGAGTTTACTTTTAGCACTATTTCAATGTAAGGCTAAATAGTGAGTTACTATTATCCTTTAGTATATAATCAAAACTAAGAGGAAAATGTAATTTCAAACCAAGGATGAGAAGAAATCTCCCTATTGAGTAGCCTTTAATATGATTCTGTTTCTCCTTTGCCAGGCATATGTGAACATGGCATTATTTGAGAACTTCACTTATGCAGGAATTGATGCAACGGCTGAGGAGGCATGACGACTTAACTTTCAACAATGGCAATAAATATAGCCCAGATGATTGGGACTTTCTTATGCATTTGCCTCTTGGTGATATCAGCAACTTATCATACAGACTGTGCTGGGCACAGTGTACAGTTGGATGCTGTTAGTTTAGAAGATCCTGCAGGAATCTAACTTGTCAACTTTCCTTAGGATGGAGGAGAATACCCTTGAATGGATTGTTCCAAAATATGGAGCTTTTGAAAATCAAACATTAAAGGTATTTTCTGTGTAGGAGAGAGGCCCCTCACTCCAAGGGAGAACATGTCTAAACTGCTCCACCATAATGAAGAAAAAAGGTCTTAAGAAGTGTGGGACCCAGTCAAGGGCATTGTGATTACAATGCACACCATACAAGAAAGGGCAGACTCATGTTACTGCAAAATTCCTTGGACAATATTACTGAAAAGGTTGGGCAGTTGGCAAACAGTGCAATTCCTTCCAGAACCCAATTCTCCAAGGAATAACATCTATCCATAATGGTCAGTTTTGTCAGCCCCACTAACAAACTGAGATCAGGAAAACAACTCCACAGAAAAACTAAAGCTACTTTTATTGAGAAAAACTAAAGCTACTTTTATTGAGACTGACTACAATTATGGAATCTTGTGAATCTGATTGAATTGACAGATCTGACAGATCTGCCATCACACCGCTTCAGCTGTGGTTCACTTTGATGGCAACCTACCATAAAAGATGGGAAGGGGGGATGACAAGAACCAGAAGTGCCAACCAGAGACAATAGTTGAATGATCCAAGGACACGAGCATCGGAAAGGAACGTGAACGCCTTCCAAAGAGGCGCCAAACTTTAGAACTATTATCAAAACAACTAATTTGAACTTTATTGGACACTAGCAAAATGACCAAGGGGGAGGGCCTGGGAGAGGGAAAACCTACCAGCTTTACACAGGGACTTTCAGATCTGGCTTTTCCTACACTGTAACCACTTGGCTTTAGTAAAAGTATACATTTCGCTACGAATGGAGTCAAGGGTCTTTTTTTCCTAAACATCCAAGCTGGGACAGGTCTGACACTCAGAGTGAATTAGGGAGGCATCTGTCTGAGTTGCTTCCAAATGTTTTCCCCCTCACTCTTGACTTAAAAAATAGTTCAACCCTTTTTGCCTAGGTAATGGTTCCTGCATATCAGGAATGCATATTCTGCATTAAGTCAGCTTGCTTGCTCTCTATGCCTTTTTTCTCATTTCATGATGAGAATTCTTGAGATAGGGCCATATGACAGTGAGTCCAGTATTGAAATTCTAGTTCTTAGATTTGCCACTAGATATACTAAGTGCCTAGTGAAGAAACTGGAACAAGTGCCTGGCATCCTTGAGACATGAACAAGAAAAAGGAGGGCAGACCCATTCTCATTCCCTTCTATGAAGCATGGGAAGGAAAGAAGGAAAGGCAAAAAATCTCTCTTCTTCTTCTCAGTCTAAGCCACAAACTCATAAGATTCCTAGAAAGGGAGTTACACAGGAATTTCCTTCAAACATGTTAACCAGACCTCAAATTAATCTTATGCCTCTTTGGAATGATATTTTAAAAAAGACTTATTAAGATGGGACAAACTATAACTTTTATTACTGGGTAGAATTAAGATGAATGTTTTACCAAAGATGTTTTTTTTTTTTGTTTCATGACTTTACCAATCCTTGTAATTGATACTCCATTTAAACAATGGCAGATGGATATTTCTAAGATTATATGGCAAGGGAAAAAAGTCAAGAATTAGTTACAAACTATTGCAAGATGCTAAGGAAAGAGGAGGTTTGGGCTTACCAGATTTGAAATTGTATTTTGGTGCTTATTGCTTGATCTGGCTAAGAATGGATGACTCTCTAAAACAAGAGATTACTCATGCAAATAGAGGGCCATGAATTAAAATTTGGATGGCACGGCTATTTATGGTAAATGTTGTAAATGTTGATTTTAATAATCATTTTGTTAGATGTGCAATCCTAAGAGTTTGGAATATGGAGAGAAGCAACTTAGAACTAAGGAGAAATTTCTTGATTGTTAGAACAATTAATCAGTGGAACAACTTGCCTCCAGAAATTATGAAAGCTCCAACACTGGAAGTTTTTAAGAAGAGACTGGACAGCCATTAGTCTGAAATGGTATAGGGTTTCCTGCCTGAGCAGGGGGTTGGACTAGAAGACCTCCAAGGTCCCTTCCAACTCTGTTATTCTGTTAATAAATATAATTTAATTATTTTAACATGTTTAAGGAAATTCCTGTGTAACTCCCTAACTTTCTGGGAATCTTATGAGTTTGTGGCTTAGACTGAGAAGAAGAAGAGAGATTTTTTGCCTTTCCTTCTTTCCTTCCCATGCTTCATAGAAGGGAATGAGAATGGGTCTGCCCTCCTTTTTGGGTATGTCCTCAGGAAGCCTTTTTTAGAAAAGAAATGGTAACAAAGTCAGATGGGTGGACTTATGGCCAAATAACATATTTCAATCATGGTGACCTTATCCTGAAATCTAAAGAGGAGTTAGAAGGAGATGTTTGCCATTGGCTTACATATTTACAGTTGAAGAACAGATGTAAACTAGACAAAAAGAGTTATGGATTTGATTTTGTGAAAAAATGAATTGGATATCCTACTGTGTGGTAGTGATGAACATATTATTACTAAGATTTATAAATTGTTATTGCATTTGAATTTGGAGAATGAGTATGTAAAGCATTGTATGATTCAGTGGGAAAGAACTTTGGATATACACTAAAGTAATGTTTGAACAATGGGAAAATATGTGGATGAAAGGTTTAAAATATACACTAAATTATAATTTAAAAGAAAAATTTCATGAGATCATGTATTGTTGATATTTAACACCAGATAAGAATGTATAAAGGTGTTTCAAATTAATGTTGGGAATGTAAATGTAAAGAGTTTTTTTTACCATTTATGGTGGACACGTGATAAAGCAAAGAAATATTGGAGTAGGATCCACATCTTAATATAGGAAATTCTTAAAGTGAATATATATCCTTCCTTATTTTACCATTATTTTCATTTTTCTTTGTATTCCTGTATTTTATATTTTGATAAACTAATAAAAATTTTTATAGTAAACATGTTAACCAGACCAAGATACATAATACACCTAAAAATTGACTATTGGTCCTCTCTTCTGACAGCTTTCTGGTGAGGAAACCTATGAGTTCCAATAGGATTTGGAAGGGGGTGATTGATAGAGATTGTTAGATCAGATGAAGCCATCAGTAAAGAATTCCATAAAGGGTTGGGAAATGGCTGCCATACTTTAACTCTTTAAAGGGGGAAATGTTATACTTTAGAAAAACTGTGATTTCACTTAAATTTTAATGGCAGAATTTTGGAAGGAAATGGGAAAAATGAGCCAGGATCCTATTCAGCTTAAGGATGCAACTTACTCAACCCTGCTCTACAACTTCCAGGATTCCTGATATTGACATTCCAAAAATGACTTTGCCATTAAGAGGTAAATGATATGAGCTGGACAAAGGTTCAGATTCAGTATCCAAAAGTTGTTTTGAAGGGTGTAGGAGCAAGAAGATAGCATCTGAAAAAGCAGATTTTTTTTTCCCCAGATTGAAAAGGTGTAGCTGGTTTAACACACCTTATTATATGAAAATGGTTCTACTCATTAGTATTAATGCCTACATATAATGGGAAATGAAATTAAATGCATCTTCTTAGGATATCAGAAGACTAATTTGGATTTGTGGTGGAAAAGGTTTCTTGTATTATTGAGTCATTATCATACTTTCAGATTTTTATGTGTGTCAGCAGAGGTGACTTTATAATAAAGGCAGGAGGTAGTATGACAATCCAGAAATCTCCAAATCCCTATTTTAGTAAAAGCCTATCTATTCATTATCATGATATACAATAAGTGTAGTTGCCATTGTGTGATGTTTACTGAAAGGTGCAGTGTTTCTCAATGTTGGCAATTTGGGAGGGGAATCCTGAGAAATACTGCCCCAGTGTCTCTTTTTCTATTACATTTATAAATACTTGGAACAGCAAATGAGGCAGGAAATGGTAGGATGTATAGAACTCTCCCTTTCACTCCATTGTAATCACACCAATTAACTGTTAAAGCTGAATAGGAATGGAACAGCTGTTTAGCAAATGAAATTGAGGTTCATTTACTGTAGATTACACAGAGAAGGTGGGGCAATTGTGCAGGTTAAACTATGTCTTTAGCACTCCTCTTTATTATGGCATAATATTGAGAGTTGGCCTACTTTCAGCTTTCTTCCTAGGATATATTTTTAAACATTTTAAAATAGGGAAGTAAAAGAAAAAAAATGGAAAAATCAATACATACATGTAAAGCAGTTTTTTCCTCACTGTTACGTTTTTGCAGAAATGTAGATTCATTTCTTTGTTGGCTCTCCCTTCCCGCTCTGCAATCTGAACCTTAATGTTTAGTAGAAGAACTAGTAGCTGCTGAAAATTCAGAAGTATGCTTTGGACATTGTTATGTGGATCTCTTCTTCCTTACCAAACCTTTTCTTCTGTTCCATACAAAAATTGTGTCAAACGTCTTTTTCATAAATGAGTTTTTCAAACTCTGGACAAATTATATTTCAAATAATTCAGTCATGCTTCCAAGGGATGATAAATGACCCACACCTATTCAAATGCAATGAAACCCTGAGTCACAGCACCCAACCCTTCAAAATCACTGTTAGTAAACTACTTTTTACCAACTTAATTATAAGTTTTCCTTGGATTATTTCAGGACATGCTGATGGAGAAATATTTAGTTTTATTTACACTGACTATTTCCCTCCCCTTGACTTTGTCTACCAACTTTCTTTTGTATTACCAGCCCTGTTTAGAATCAGGTATTATACCCTGCCAAAACTGAGGAATTTGAGTGGGTTTTTTTCACTAGCTATAGATATATATTATAGAATCATTTGAACTTTGGGAAGAATTTTATTCAAGGGGTTAAAGTAGTTTATATATCACAGCAAGC